GGAAAGAGGTTTTCTAATCCTAAGCAACTCTATGCAGTTGGTAGTGCCCAATGATGTCATTTAACTCAGCTGCTCTGTGGTCTACACACCAGTCTACAATAAACTGAATTAGTAAGGAGTTTCTTTTTGATAGGGAAAATCTTCTAGAAGGGCATGTCACCAGCGAGCTCCCGAATGTAATGAGTAATTCCTAATTTTATAAAATGCCTATTCATTTTTTCTGCCCCTGAAATGCACCTCTGTAAGGGACCGCTTGCAACTCCAGGAGAACATTGCCAGGGCCATGCAGCAGCTCTTGACCTCCAGCTGGGCTGTGCTCAGAGAGCCCTGCTAACGCCGCGGGCCCAGGCCCCGGGGCAGTCGCAAGAGCGAAGAGCTCTTGGGAGCAAGGAAAGAATGCAGCTGGCTCAGGGACATGTCCCAGCACCAGATGTCACCACACGAAGGTGCCTCCTGCTGCCAGCTGGAGAGGGCAAACTGCAGCTCTTTTGCTGAACCAGAGCTCTTCAGAAACATGACTTACTCAAACCTTGCAGAACTTACTGCCAGCAAGTGATATAAAACCTGGCCTAACGTAGCTGAAAAAACAAACCTACAGCTCCATGAACAAATTATTTCTAAAAGCTGTGAAAAAGATGGCAGTCATTTCCTTCCCTCAGTTAAATGACTACCTTTGTGACAATGTTTTTTTAAAGCTTATTTGATTCTTCCCCATCTGTGTCATCTGCAACATCATCACTGCTGTCTTATATACAAATGTTAAAAAAAAATTAAAAATGATTGATGTCATCTTCTTATGAGGATCACTGTGAGTGAGAAAAGCAAAACATTAAGAGTCCCATCCTCCCATCCCATCACACTCCTTTGTCCACTTGCTGACACTGCACTAAAATACTGTACTGCACTGAAAACAGGGCTTCCTTCTGTTAGCTCTTGCTTTCCCATCCCTCTGTTTGCGTGCATCATGTTAGCACTGCAACTGCGTCAAAATAGCTTCTCTGTAGAGCCCCTAATCTGTGTCTGAAACTATGCACATAATCCGGCTGGATGTCTGTAGTGTCCCTTGATCCATTACTAAAAAGGGTCTTCAACAAGTTTTTCCTTCCACCACTGTCTCAGGCCGGCTGCAGTCACAACTGGCACGCTCTGTCACTCAAAGGAACAGTCCCTACCCCTGACAAGCAGATAGAGGTAAAGAGAGGTAAAAATGTAGAATTGGCCTTAAAGTCCTTGAATGACGGTTCCCAGGAGAAGTCAGGATCTGGGGAAGGACTAGTTAATGGAAGGGGAAATGCAATCTGGGACACAGAGGGGCTAGGAGAAAATAAGAATTGAAAGAAGGTACATGGGAAGAAAATGATAAAAGGGAATGTTATAAAGAATAAAAAGGGAAAATGAAAGGCAAGCAAGGAAATGAAAAGGAGGAGAAAAAAATTTGAGAAAAAGAAGAGGGGATAAAAAAGCAAAGATATGTAAAGAAACTCCAGGTTAGTACTTTAATTAGTTTGCCTTGCTGCTTTTTTCCCAGATACCATCATTCTCTGGCACAGCATCATAATTTCATAGTCAGTCAGCCATTTGGGGGCTCATTAAAATGCTGCGTTAGTATTATCATAGCATGGTGAAACTGCCCTTCCTACATACCCGCAGAGCCTGCAGCACATCCTACTGCCACTATCCGCATAGCAGCTGAATGGCAGCAGAAGCGCATCTCCTTCACGCTTCCTCACGCCATGGGCAGCCGCAGCACAAGGAGGTGTGGGGGGCACTTTCTGAACTCGCTCTGCCTTGCAGGTGCTGCTGGGGAGGTGGTTATGTGTAAGAGAAGCAGGAAGGAAAAGCTAGAAGGGAAGATGATGGCATTTGCCAGTGCTTACTCAGAAAAAGCCAGAACTTTGGAAAACCAGACACAGGGACAGTCTCACCTAAGCCACAAAATTAACCCTGAAGGATAGTCTCATGCATTCCCAGATAACCAATACCGCTCCCAGAGCTGCAGAAGCAGGCACGGAGCAGTACTGGTTATCTCGGTCCACCTGAAGAAGCCCAGCATATTCTGAAGAAAAAGTGAGGGTAAAGCTAGCTCTGGAGAGGCGATGGTGACGCTTCCAGGATATCCTTGTAAAAGGCAGGAGTGTGGAGACTGATCCATAGCTGTGGGTCTGGAGCGGAACTCAGAAGCAGGGGCTGATGCAACCAGAAAACTTGGTGGCCTTTTAGCCTAAAGAAGGTATTGAATCTTGGAGACTTGAGGTACAAACCGAGGCCCTCTGACACATTCAAGATTTGAACTTTAGTTCTGATAATAAAAAACATTTTGTCCTGTACTTCAGTAACAGAGGCGAGCATTGTTTATGAAATTTGAGCCGCTGGATACCTGACTGTTAAAATAAATACCAGTCCACCTTTCTGCTAAGTATTAGTGCTATATTCTTGCATTTCTCACTTGTTTCTGCAATGGTTGGGTTACCCTGACCCTGACCCAGCAGTATCTGGTTATAAGATTCCTCTCCACCTGTTCTTACTGCTGTCAGAGAAGCACAGAAAGATCTCTTCTAGCTCACTAGCCTGCAGAGCATTGAAACGGTGTGTTGATCTCAATCCTTTGAGGATGTAGCGTTGCTACACATTTCTTCCGAGCAACCCAACGCAAGTGTCTAAGTAAATGTAATATATGGAAGGAACAACAGCCTTCTCATAGCAAACTAGGAAAGAGGCAAATTTAGAGCCTTAAAAACAACAGAAGAAGCCCCTCCACCAAATCCTAATGCAGAGCAAAAATAAACTTCATACGCCTAGAGCTGAAAAATTCACTGGCGGGAATGGGGATGCCACCTCTAGAAGCAGTGCTGCTGGGCCTATTGTAATATACTCTCCTTAGCTGGAGCTGTAACAAAAATTTCATGGCCTGCCCAGTTCTTCTGACATCTGAAGATAATTTTTGCAAACACAGGTTGGCAACAGCTGTAAGTAATAAACCAAGCTTGTATCATCATACCTTTTTCTTCTGACACAGAGATGTTGCTGTAAGGGGGACTTGCACAACTGAACTTCAACGGTGACGCATCTTTGCATTTCTTAGAGTACCAGTGCTGTCCAGGGTTGTTATCACTGTGACTGGGACAGAAGAAAATTCCCCAAAAGAAGAACTTCAATCTGTTCTTGCAAACCAGCCTGCAAAGGAATGCTCACACTGATGCAACATCTCCTTCGAGCGTGCCAGGGTAACAACATGTCTTCCATCAGACAGGCTAGTGCCATGCCCTGGTGCTGCCGCACAGCCTGCAGTAGGTTTCTACTATTAACAGTAAGGAAGTGAGCACAAACGTGTCTGCTCTGATTATACTGGTTTCTAGCGTTACTTAATAGCAGCATGGCAGACAACATGCAAGCATCAAAAACCGAGACAACTAGTGCAGAGCCTTGGGGACACCACTGTCCAGCTGAATCACTCCCCAAAATGCACCTCCATTAAAACAGGCTGGGAGTCAGACTTGCAGCGTTTTGTGAAATCATCAATAAGAATCAGCTTCTTTGTCATACAGAATACCATGAACTTAAATCAAACTCTGCATGTTGGTATATCACGCCAGCTGTTTGACATTGACAAGTTTGCTTATAGCAAGTGCACTCCTTTCACAGTTTATGAAATAACCTTTTAAAACTATCATCTCCTTCCATATCACAGCACTGAGATAGTCTCTCAGTACATAGGAAAACACAGGCAAAATATCACAACATAGATTACTTATGGTACCAAGTGTACATGCAAATCCACAGTAATCAAACTCGGTGATTTTTTCCCTATCTAAGAGTAAGACATGCCTGAGAGAGTGAAATAGTAATTGGATTATGCTGGATTGAACGTTCTAGTGCTACTTATGCCTTTATAAAATTGACCCGATTATACAAATGGAAAGTATAAAATTGAAACTATTAAACCAAAGTTCTTATGAATTTAGCACTTCCTTCTCCCCGCTCCAGAGACGTTTAAAAATATATTCTGCAAGCCGAATTATGGCCGAATCTTTCCCCTTATCCCATCAAGCCCAAGGTACTAAGATGGAACTGTACTGCTGGAAAAAAAAAAAAGAAAAAATATCCAGCATTGTGCTTAAGGTTTTATGCATACAATTTCCATTAGTTGTGCTAATATTTACAGTCTTCACCTTTCAAGAACTGAAATATATTCAGAAAGATAACAGTTTATAAAAAGTCAATAACCAATGAATCACATTTACATTTTCAATGTTTTATGTAAAGAGTTATTTAAGGAGAAGAAAATAATAAGATGAGCCTCTGGCAACTGAAGACTGAATCATTTTATAGATGTAGATGCAGTTAGTCAGCTGAACAAAACAGTACATGACACCATTTTACAATTCAGGGCCTGATGGGGACAGCGGCATCCTGTGAAATAATTTTCAATATAAAACTTTCTGTTGAAAACCAAATAAAAAAAAAACAACAAATTATGAACAAAGACAAATAATGCCAAGAAATGACATATGTTGATCACTGCTCAGTGAGCTAACTCTTGCAATCGGAACGCCCAAAAGATTTTCAATCATCTATGGCATTTCCACAGAAAAATGTGGTTTCAATACTTTTTCTCCCCAAAACTCAGATAATTTCCTGATTGCAAACCAGTAACTGGTTTTACAATTTATAGCAAACAAAAAGAGAACATACAGTTATAATACTTCATTGAAATTAACCAATCAATATTTTTCTATATTTGTATATTTTCAATTATTCAATATATTTTCAATATATTTCCATATTTTCACAGCCATCAGGTATGGCATCATGATATAAGTAAGTCAGAATAAATCAGCTGTATTTTCTAAGCCTGATAGTCTCATGATCTAAGTAGCCACTTGTGTGCTTGGAAATACATCTGTTTGTAGCACTGTGATCTCCATACCGCGCAATTTGGGTGAGTAGACATGGAATGTTGTTATTCTGTTCTTTTCCATCCTCACAGACCCTACAGTCAAAGACAGATTTTACAAAAGGGTCTGAAAAGAGGTATAGATAGGTTTGTTTAGATTTTACCTAATAGAGACACCAACATAGGCACATCTTCCATAGAGATTTTTTTTTTCCTCTGGATCACCAAAGTTTCACATCTCAATCCTTTCCCTGTTGCTTAGGATTTAGGGAGACACTGTTGTGGAAAAGCAGGACTGGTAGCCTGCCCTCCTCATTAGAAATCTCCATGAATATACTGGGCTTTGCGCTCTCCCTGGGCCACAAAATGGAGCCGGGTGGGCAATGCAGCCAGACTGCTCAGCTTCCCTCCTGACACGACATTTTACACCTTCTCTTCCCCTTTCTCCTCCCCAGCCTAGGCTCAAAGCAGTCATAAAAGAGAAAGGTTAAAATACTAGTTCTCATGGGAATAGCTCAAGCATCTTCACTAAACTAGCTGACAATGAACTAAAGCAGGAAATTATTGCTAGCTGCTCATATTAGTGACTTTCTCCCCTGCGCCTCCGTAGGATGTGTTCCATTGTCCTCTTGCACAAAATCAGGGTCTTAACTTATTGATACAATCACATTCTTGATCTACTGCTATAAATTAGCACTGCCACCTGTGCATGTCCCATATCTCCTCATAATTCTGTGCTTTTCTGACAGAAGCAATCTACACTAGCACTGGTCATCTTCATTCTCATGCACGTCATCTGATCCTGAGCTTGTATTCGTGAACCACTGACAGTAATTCAATAGTGAAGGACTATAGGTTTAAGTATTGTGGTTTTACTCAAAGTGGAGGGAAAAACAGTCTAATCCATGCTTAAATGATATTTATGTAGACTGCTGATGATTGAGCTGGGGCAGAAGGTCTGCAGTCCACAGCTCTCCTGCTTGGCCAGGCTTGGCCTGTGGGACATTCGGCATGGAGGTAAAATAGGAGATCCTTGCTTCATATTCTGTCCTGAGAACAAAAACTAAAATAGATTTGTTTTCCCTAAAATTTGTATTACTTGCATTGTAAATAGGTCATCTGAATAATAATAGATTAAGTTGCACAATTTTAGTCAAATTGGGGGCTATATTTACTTTTGTTGTGACGGTGCAGTTTTGGCCTCATAATAGTTAACTTCTTAGCCCTTGATTTAGCGTAATTTTAACAAATTTTCCTTTCTCCACCTCTATTTCTACCTTATTTTCACTGCATAACTTGAAAAAAACACAGAGAAAATTAAACATCAAAGCAGGTATGGAAGTGTCATCAAGTTGCATTGGTTTAGACTGCTAATAAAACATCACATTCATTTAGAAATGGTGCAGCTGCCCAGCTTCAAGAGCCATTCTAAAATGCTAGAAGCATCTCCCCCTGTTCCTGTTTCTTCTTAACTACAGTGTTTATAGCAGAGAATCCAGCCAGAAATGGTAGCCAAGAAGGATGAAATGGCAGAATGGCTACCTGGCAAGCATGTGAGAAAGAAAGAGACAAGAAAACTCTATGCATAAACACAAAAACAACATAAACAGACGAAAGTCTGGGAGGGATGGGTACTCTAATCTCTTTAAAGCCAGAAAAGAGAACGTTATCCAACACATTAGGGAAAAAAACCCACCACCCCACAACATTACTGCTAGAATTTCGATGCTGTTGAAATCCCGAAGAGGGCACAGGTGTGCTTCTCAAGGAGGCCTGGGGAGAGCTGTGTAGCAGCACAGCCGTTGCATGTACACACACATGCCACAGCCACCAGGGCTAGTGGACCCTCTGCCTACAGTTCTGCTCCCTTTCCTCAAACTAATAAACAAGGTTCCTGTTGCCCCGTTTCTCCAGACTGTTGAGGACCTTCTGAATGGTGGCACAACCATCAGTCCAGGCTAGACAGATGTGTATGTCAACTCAAAGTTGACCCTGGAGAAGCCTGAAATACAAGATCTGATCAAGGCCACAGCCAATCTATCATCTCAGCTGTTGTAACACTGCCGCTTCCCACGTTCAGTATAACGGTCTAACGCTGAGAGCACTGATCGGGCCCTCTGATCTCTTTAGCCCACAGTATGCTCCATCCCCATCAGCATGCACGGACGGAAGGGAGCGTAGAGGGAGCAAATATTGTATACTCCCGTAGAAGTGGAGCCAGCATGCAGCAAGAATGCAAGAATTCAGAGTCCAGCAGAGAGCAGACAATCGATACTGAACGCTACGGAACTGAGCTAGAAACCACTTCAATGTAGCTTTCTAATCCCTCTCCAGGGATGGTTTTTGTTTTTAATTTTAATGTAAAATGCCAACACTCATCAGGGACCTGGGCCATGAACCCCAGTTTGGCTTCCTTGTAGCTGAGCACCTTGACCGCTAGGTAAGTGGAATGATTTCACATGATTCTTATCTGCCAAATAGCAAAGAAAATGCTCTATCTGCTAAAAAAAAAAAAGAGGAAGGCAAACAGCAACCCCAGTCACTGGACCTCGATAATTCAGACTGCTTTGCTTTTAGCTGACTCCCTGCCTCTTCTTTTGACATCTCAAACTAGTTTTCTCCATGACAAAATCCAAGGTGCAGCTGGGGAATACTTATTCCAAAAACCACTCCCAACAGGCTGCAAGAACAAGACCCCACCAAATTTCCTTCCCTTCACTGCACCTTCCATCCACTATCCTAGCAGGCTTTGCAACTTCAAATCCATCCAGCTGCCCTTACACCATACTCCAGAGCATGCAACACGCCTCCTGCGTCATGCTATTAAAACCTGCTTGGGAGGGCTGCAGCATATCCCTTACATTACTACAGACATACTGAACTAAAAAAAACCACACAGAAGTAACAATTGTGGCTTATAGTCACAGAAACATCATTTGGGACTCAGAAAATAGCTAAAGTCCTGGGCTGTGTAGTGCTAGTGCTAAGCAGCATGAACACCAACTGGCCTATGCCTCTTGGCCTATGGGCCAGGGACTACTGTCTTGACCTCTTCTCTTTAATAGTGTAGATATAACTTTCAGGTACATCCATGCTGTGTAACTGCTAATTTACTCCCTGGCTCTGGGTTTTGATGCTCTAACTGGCATTCTCTAAGTCCCACATGCTATAAAGAGGTGGCCCTTAGCAGCAGGGATACAAACCAGTCAGTGTTGGAACCAGGGCCAGGGATCTGTCCCGTACCTTTTATTTAGCGCTGCAGATACAGCCAAGATTTCAAAAGGCACAGTGTTTTCACC